TCTGGGACAGCTGAAGTGTCACAACATGGTCATACTTTTGGAGAACAAGGGAGCTAAAACTTACTGCAATTAAAAAAATGTCTTCAGCATCTTAGTTATCTGTTTCAAGACCTAACAAAGCACAGCTCTGTCAGCTAAGGAGTTTCAGTTTCTGTGCTGGATTTCCTGGCTCCTGTCAGTCTAGGCCACACACTTGATCTGAATTTTTTCTCCATGTAAATAGGCAAAAATATTCTCAACTGCCATTCACACGCTTCAGAAATACAGTTCATTGGCCCATATTGTGCTTTCTCTGTGCTAGAGATGAACTTAATTCTTCTTATACGTGAAAGATATCTGCAATTTAAATGACTAATTGCATTGTAGCTTTAGGCTGAACATATTGGTAACGCACAAATGTTGATGACATGTGAAGGGTCAAGAGATTTATAATTTAGTTGACAATACATTGCTTAAAATGATGTGGCAAAGAGCCAGAAAATTTCAGCTTAATAATTGTCTATTAACTAACATGACATATTTGTATAGGATTCATTACCTCCAGGTACAGATTAAGCATCTGATGTACCCATACGAAGTGACATGCGTACATGAATCTTGGGCATAATAGTGAATAAACTGACATTGCATTCACAGTAATTTGTTTCAATATGTAAAACATGTTGTTGCCTACATTTGAAAGGACTTGTAGGAATGTTGCAATGAAATCTGAAGAAAAATGTGTAATTGAATGGAGTTTTCTATTATATAGATCTGACAGCTATGTGAGGCTTTTTTGTAGGCTGCAGATAACATCATAAATACACGTTTGTTTTCAGCTGCACAAGAAGCAATCTGAATATAGAGATCTGAGTCTTTCAGCCATTGGCTTGAGCTAATGGTCTATAAGGTTAAAAAGAAATAAGATCCTCAGACCCCAAGCTAACACAACCAACTTTATTTTTTAAAAAAGAGTCATATAAATATTGAGTAATGTAATATTTTAGTGTTTTGAATGTGGGAGTATTTCTGTCAGACCAAGGTTTGTTAGAATAGGCAGCATCAGTAGGCTGGCTTGCCACCAAACTGCTATCAACTTCTTTCACTTTGTTTTCTCTGGCCTAGATTAGGCACTTGTGTGTATGAGCAAAAATGTCACAAGTTTGACAGGGTCTCTTCCTTTCCTCCTGGCTGCTGGAGGAGACTCAGGTAAGTGCTTGAACACAATGTGTTAATGGTTTTTTTAACCCTTGTTTCCTCTTATGAGACAAGAATATGTTCTGTGTTTTACAGCTGAGAAACCAAGTACAGCATACACTAGGTATCACTGACCTCAGTGTGACCACACGTGACGGAGATGGGGGTTGAACCTGGATACTTTTGCTTCAATTCACTAGGGAAGGGAGCGTGTACTCCACCAGGAACAGCTCACTGAACCTGACTGGAACTTGGTGGGGAGGAAGATGTCTGCAGACCTCTCTGAGCTTTGTGTGTAGAATGGCTCTGAGCAGTTTTGAAATCCATGTCTATATCCATGGTCCAAACTTGCAGATGCCAAGCTCCAGATACCTTGCAGACTAGAAGTAAGGTGGTAGTGGTGAGCAGCTCTGTATTAACTTCTCTCTTGCTTTTTCAGAGAATTGGTATTTAATTCTCCATCCAGCCACTGGAGAGAGCTCTAGAGATCTTTGAACAGGTTTCCAGAGCAACCTCTGAACGAAACTGGCTGTTCAGTAGCTTGGGACTACAGCAGGAGCACCACAATGTGTTCTGCTGCCAAGATCAGTGAGTGTAATTGATCTCCGTCAGGTGTGTATAAAAGGCACTAAGGGTGACAATGTGCTGCTGTGGAAAAGGTGCTGATTTGGCTCAATGATGAGGCTAGTTCAAAAGCAGGACTCCTGCTGTTGTGATCTTGTGGGGCTGATTTTAAGCCACTTGTGGTCTCAGTCCTGGTAAGGGTGGTTTACAGTGGTGCAGTCACACTGCTGTAGTGTGGCTTACAAACAGGGTCTGTCAGCTGTGATACCCAGGCTCACTGGTAGAATATACACTGGTAGTTGGCCCTCCTGGGCTGCATGTCTCTGTCATTTCCCTTTTGGAGGAAAGGCAGGGTGGTGAGGGTTTACTGAAAGGCAGGAACTTCAAGGTAACAAACAAAAAAGAGTGAGAAAAAAGAAGTTACTAGTTAGTTAGAACTAGTAACTAGAAGTTACTAGTTACTAGAAGTTGCTAGTTAGAGCACTAATAATTAGATGTTGCAGAAGCAGGGGAAATGCAGACTGGCTGCAGTAGCCTTTGCTAGATAGAAAATGCTTCCTGTATAATCAATTTGCTTATCTTTGTACTTGTCTGTGACCTAGTTGAAATGCAGCATTTTTCCCCTAGAAAGAGACAAAGCTGTCTTGGGGTATGCTGAAGACTAGCAGTGAAGAATCCCCCAAAACAGCAAGACACAAGTGATTGCTGCCCGAATAGGAGGAGCATGATAGAGCTGTCTGGGAGCAAGGAGTGGGCTGGAGTTTTTCAGGTCTCAAAAACTTTGTGCTTTTGAGGAAGGGGTATGTGAGATCTAATGGAGAGGATTATTGACTTTTGCCTAGAGCTAGACAACACTGACCTCCTGCCCAATAGGAATTTGCTCAAGTGGAGCAGCAGAGGACCCTCCCTTAAAGTGTCCCTTGTGTCAGCTTTAGAGCTCAGAGCTGAGCATTCCTTAAGTAGTCTTGGACATTAACAGTGGTATCTGTGATGGTTCTTTGGGATGTGCAGATCTTGGACCACTGCTTGGTCCAAGTTCCAAAACAAAACCAGGAAAAACCAGTGTTTTGATACAACTGTAGAAGACAGTAGCTAACAGGAGATAGTGCTCAGCACTGTAGAACTTAACTTAAAAGTGGGCTCCCCAGCATGGTCCCAATCTGGACTGGAATGACCTAGGCTGTCTGTTGGCTTCTTTAATTTTAAACCATTGTGTAATTTGAGAGAAGGACACTTTCTTTTAACTTGTGGTGGGAGCTATTGGTTGTCAAAGAGCTCCCTGGCCCCTGAAATAACTCGGTAGCTTTGATAAGCCAGAGTGATGCTATGGGAAACTTAGAACTGTGAATGGCTGTCTTAGTAAACAGGGGCCCAGGATAAGCTTTGACTTTGGATGCGGTATTACAGCATAATATCACTTTGTGTCTTTGCACTGGGCGTGATGGGTAAGAATTTAAGAATAAACAAATCCATAACTCTTTCTCAAATTCAGGCAGCTCAGTGCTTCTGCCCTGTTGTAGCATCTTGCAGCTACAACAGCTTCCAAAGTGGGCTGGGGGATTTGTGCCGTCTGTTTCCTTTTTGTAAGAGTGAACAGGATTGAGGTGGCTTTGTTTGGTGTCTTTTTAAAGGTAAGACTTCTAGTCTAATGACTTATTTAGAGAGAAAATACTTTCACCTCAATAAAGTTCTTTGAATTTTAAAGGACATTGCTGTTGGGTTACTGAAAACCCTTGGGGTTTGTTTCATTTATAACATTGCCTGGGGCCTTCTGCTGCATCCTGTTGGACTGACCTCCTTTTCAACCCGTGCTGGCAGCTGCATTGCAGAGCTATCTTTTCCCTGGATCCTTCAGGGTTGTCATATGACAAACTTGAACTGTGACCCTTTTGTGTCTTACCAGGACAGCAGTGCCCTCTGTGCAATGTGGCCAGCAGTCTTCCCCATGCACGCATTTGTTCCAAGCCATTTAACAAACTGAAAGTTTCAAATGATGGCATTTCATAGTGTTTAATAGTATTGACTGTAAAGCAAATGAAATGGTGCTGAATACCCTGTGTGCTGCTTGTAAAAAATACAGCTTCCATTTCTGCAGCGTGCCCTGGGTTTTCTGTGGCTAGCATGTGCTCTCTGGTAAATCTCTTTATATTTTTACTAAATTCCATGCTTCCACCCTAACAACAGTAGCATTTGCTACTATATGTAGTCTAGCACTGGTCGTAATTTCTAATAAATGAGGGGTTTAAATAGATTTCTCTAAGCAAAGTGGGCAAAATCATTTTGCAGAAGTCTTGCAGAGAGTGTTAGGGTAAGAATTTATATAGTTAACACTGCATCCAAGCAACACCATCTCCAAGTGGTGTTGATGCTGGCAGGCATTGCCCTGCTGAAGTTACAGAGACTGAGCACTCGTATTTGTACAAATTACATTCATTACCAAGAACCCTCCAGTAGTGATAAGAGACTGGCTGTGCAGCACAGATTGGCTCCAAGATAAGTAGCCAGTCTATTGTGCAGCTCATGGTAATCTTCCTCTTCCCCACCCCTAATAATAAATCTTAGGGCATTTTGGAAAGCGTGGGGGTTGCTCATTCTAGTAGCTTGAATGTAAAACTGCTAAATGTCATCATCTCCTACCAATTGTATTTTCATAACCAAGCAAGGCAGCTGACTGAGATGGATAGCCTCAGATATAGTATTCTGAATATCTGGATGCTTTCACTGAGTATTTGTTGCCCTCTTAAAGAGCAGAGCACAGATGATGGGTGGGATGAGAGTTTCTCCTGGCCATGTTCCAAAGCTAGGGTGCACTCACAGTGACAGTTTTCCTCATGAAGAGATGGAAACCTCTGGAGCAAGCAGTAGTAAGAGTTGTGCACAACCTGGGGCTCTGCATAGGTACTGTGTTAGTACCTTCTTCATAGTTGGCTGATCCTTTCTCAGAGCAAGTCTGTTCAGCAGACTTCAGTGAAATGGCAGTTATTTATCTTACCATATTAGTATAATTTTAAGGGAAGAAAACTTTGTGGTTGCTTTGACTGAAATAAACCATCAGCTGGCAAGCGCTTGCTTTGTCTTTTTCAGTATCTAATGTGCAAGGATCTTTGGATTGTTGTTTTTCAGCATGGAGAGCACAGAACATCAATGGCCTAGTTTTATACAAGTGGGCAGTATAATCCAACCAGTTTAGTTAAGACTTCTGTTTACATGAAATTCTAATGTTTCTGATGGTTTTTTTTCTTCCTCTCTCCCCCATTTAGGGTTTGAACAGCAATGGAATTGCTGGATCATCAGGTTTTAGCCTTACGAAGCAGATGCTGTCTCCAAGAGTAACCCGTGTCTGTCTCAGGGACTTGATATTCTGCATGGAACAAGAGAGGGAGATGAAGCATTCTCTTCACTTGTACCGTGCTCTTTTGAAGTGATGTGAATCTTGCATTTCACCGTGCTGTCTACTGCCAAAGAAAACACTGAAGCATTGTTGCACTGTCTTGAAATTCCAGTTTCTGGAAAATGATCCGTTGTAAGGATAACTCTTGTTTACAGATAAACACTTTTATTAAATACCTAACTTAGCACCTGTAAGATTTTTAATAACACTTGGCTTAAATCAGTCTGTAAACCAGTGAAAACACTGAGCTGCACACGTAAGCACCTATCTGCTTGCATTTAACTGTCTTACAAGCTCTGAGGGCTTGGTAAGTGTCCCTGGTTTATGTATGTCACTTGCTTCAGTACTCCAGAGTCTGCAACATCTGTTCTATGTGTAGTGCCACCTTCCAACCCAATCTTATTTTGGGAAACAAATATCACTGTAATGGCACAGCATAGCATGGCAACTGTATTTAATGAACCAGCAGTCAGTAAACATGCTAATGTATTGCCTGTGTGACTCAACATCATCTTAAATTTTCTGGGTTTAGAATTACTACTTGATGCTTATTTGTGGAGATCAAAGTAGCAAGCAAAAGGAATGAGGGGTCCTTTCTACCCTACACTTTGCCTCAATTGCCCTCAGCCTTTCCTCTGAGAAAGTGACTGAGGGAAGGAGGACAAATCAGTCATTCTTGTGATTGAAGTACATCACACAGTGTAGTTAGGGCATACTTGGATGGTCATGGAAAATTTGGAGTTACTAAAAATACAAGGAGTAAAAGATCCTAAAAAGGGAGAGCGAACAGAAGAAACAGTTTATCTTTCTGTGGATACAAAAAATAGCATTGAACTTGCCTAGATGTGGAAAGATATTAACAAAACCTGTTCTGACTACAAAAAAGGGAAAAGTTGAGATGCATTGGAACTCTGGAGCTGAACACACTCTTGGAGATGAGCAGTTTTTGCAAAGCACAGGATTCACTGCTTTAGAATATTGTTTTAATACTTTAATGTAGTGTAACAGGGAAGTCTCAAAAAGAAAGTACTTAGACTTGCTTTGTTTCCATTCAGTGAGGAGGAGGACTCTGGATTATACAGACTGTTAGAACAGATTCAAAGATTGTCTACTTGCTGGTAAAGACTGCCTTGTGGTAGAAGGAAAGCCCTCTGGGTCACCCTTCTCCTCAGCCTCCAAACATGATGCCTTCCATGACACAGTGCTGTATAGCATGGCTGTTTCTCAGGACTGGTGGGAAAGGCACTGACTGCATTCACGGAATCACAAAATATCCTGAGTTGGAAAGGGCCCCCAAGGATCATCAAGCCCAACTCTTAAGTGAATGGCCTGCACAGGGATTGAACACAGAACATTACCATACTCTAACCAACTATTGAATGGCTTCCTGCTGAATTTTTTTTCTTCAGAAGAACAAGCTTCCTATGGTTACTTGGCATGCTGCTTCAAAACTTGAAGCAACTATTCACACAGCTATTCTGCACTATCAGAACCATTGCAGATGGTTCCCAAATTCATAAAGTTGTGAATCAGTTACGTTGGTTTTTGTTGGAACAGTAGTAAACAAATCTAGTAAATGAATGCTGTAAATTGTTTATATATGTATATATAGCATATATATATATATATAAAAGAAAAGCAGTACTTTAACTAAACTATAGTTTGCAAGATATTGATGGCATCGGGCAAAATTGTTTTGTATAATTAAATGCTTAGCTTTACTTTTTATGTAAAGTGCAGCATTTTCCATATTTGTGTACTGTTATCTTATTGATCAGATGTTAAAAGTTATTTTAAATACTGCATTAAAGCAATTATTTTATTAAAAATAATAAATTGGTAACTGTTTCCTGATGTGAGAAGTTCAGCATCTGAAGCTGTCAGCACCATGACTAACGGTGCGACTCGATGAGCGAGTCCCAGCTGTCTGCCCGTCACAGGACAGGAGCTGGCACGGTTTCCTCATGTGACAAATTAACTATGAACATCTCTGTTTGAAGGGGTTTTAAACAGAAGTAGGTGACAAAGAAAAGGACTGCTGGAAAGGGGAGGGGTGGGCATGGAGAAAAAGCAGCATCTCATGTCTGATTTCCTCCTCTCAGCACAGAGACTGGATTGTGGGGTTTTTGGTAACAGCTGGGCAGAGGTGAGAGCTTTGCACATGTTCTGGGAAGTGAAAGCATGAACTGTGTCAGACTTCAGCAATGTGCTGTGGAAGCACTGTCCTAAATTATTTTTAAAGCAACTCACAATTACTTAAGTGCAGGCTGGAGAACCATGAAGAGCATCTGCATATTGGCCTGCCTCTTTCTCTTGAAACCAGTGCAATTCTGAAGTGAAATATGTTGGAGAAAATAATTGATAAATAGATATATCTAAAGGATTATGGATGATTCAGGTGTTTTTATGGCCTGCCTGTGATGTAGATCACATGCTTTTATTGCTGCCAGAGCAAGTTCTCTCTCGCCAGTAGATTCTCCTTGTGTGCTTCCTCTTCCCCCATGTGCTATGTCCACACCCACCCCACTCCCAAAAGACCTCTCAAATTCAAAAGCTTTACACTGTAAAGAGCAGCAGATGTTTCAAAAAGGTTTTTCAGGAAGTCTTTAGGCCTAGTTTCAGACAGGGATAGCTTTGTGCTTGGTGCAAAAACAGAAAAATATTTGTCTCCTTGCCAAGGGTTCATAATGCCTCCCATTTGAGCTCAGCTTTGCTTCTGAGAAAAGTGTCCTCTAAAGTGGCATTTAGGAGATACCTGTGTTTTGCTTAGCCACATCAGGAATTAAAGGAGATTCACCAGGGGTTCACTTCCATGCTTTTCCCCACTTTTCCTGCCAATTATGGGAATACTGAAATCCCAGTCATAAGGTGATGAGGACAAAACCTGCTATCATGCTCCCCTGCCTTTTAGTTCTTAGTGTGCTCATGTTCAAGCTTGGGAACCTAGGGGAACTGTCTGAGCCACCAGTGCTGGGAGGGCTCTAGAGCTTGCTCCGGGCATTTCCTGCTTTCTAGCTGGCCTGCTAGCCTAGTGGCTGTTTCTGATGCACTGAGCTGGCTGGGCAACTATCCCTGCCACTGAAGGGCTCAGCTTTCAGAGAAAAGGGTATACAGTTTTGGGGGGGGGAAGTTGTTGTTGCTTGCTCTTTACTACTATCTCAGCAGCATTCTGTGCCAAATTTTGTGTGTTACTTGGTGACAAAAGGGGGCCTGTACTGTTTCTCCTCCAACTGATGCTTTTTCCTTTTATTGCCATTTTCAAGTCTTAGCACTGAATCCAGCCCTTTGCACTGTCTTTGACTCCAGCTTTTCCCTTCTCCCCCTGGGAAAGCCTAGCTGGAGTGCACTAACACACCCTGCAGCTTTGTTCGAGGTTTAATGAGGAGGGTAGCAGGGGATCGTGAGACACTTCTGGATGATTCCTCAAAGCCATTGCACTCACTTGGACACTTCGACACGAGTAGCTTAAGGCTACTGTTTGCATCAAGTTGTTCTAGGCCCCCTCTCTTTGTAGGCACCTGTGTCCTGCCATGTGAGTGCACTGTGCTGAGCAAAAGTGCTGTCAGCTGTTCTCCAGGTTCATCTCTTTGCTCTGTTCTTTGCTTTCCTCTTCATTTATAATCACTGGGGTGAAGAGAGAAAGACTAAAGCAAGTGAGGATGTCCTGAAGGGGCAGACAGTCCAAGTGATTGGACTTGGTGAAACAGGCTTGTTCCCAGCAGCTTTTCAAATGAGGGCTGCTGGGTTTCTGAGGCCAAGTGCTGCACACTCTTCCCTGTGCATGTAGCACACGATGTCTGCGCATGCTCTGGAAGCTGGATGCAGCCGTTGTTATCCCAGGTCCTACGGCTGTAGCTCTGGAAATAACTACAGTCTGTAGTGAAGGCTTTACTCCTCTGAGGGGTGCAAAGCTGAGAACCAAGACTGAAGAGCACAGCACACCAGACCTGTCTGTTTTGCCACTTTGGATTCTGGGGTGTCAGTGGCTTGTCCCTCCCTCTTCGGGAGGCTGCTTGTCTGCAGGTCACAATGCCAGTATTTCACTTGGTGCAGGTAATCTATAACCTAGACAAGCACCCTGTTTGGCTTTGTAACACTGAAGGAATAAGCAATAAAATTTGTCTTTTCCTTTCAGATATATCAATCCTTGTGCCTACAGCCTCTTCTTTCCTCTTCTATTGCAGGCATGAGCTGGTCACTCATTGCCTGCTCTCTGTAGCTATTCTGGCATGTTAGCTGGTAACTTTGCTACCCAGTCTCTCCTCATGAGCCCCTGCTTCACAGTTCCCCTCTGACAAGCCTAGTTTTGAAAGAGTTTTTGCTGTGCAGAAGGGAGGAAAAGGAGGGTTTTCATCCTGGACTTTAATGGTTATTCTAGAATGGAAGGAGGTGGTGGCACAGGTCAGCCCACAGCTCTGAGGCTGCTACTTTCTGCTCCAGGGAAGATCCTTGCAGGAAGTTGGTGTTTCATGGTGCCCAAAACCTCCACCATTAAGTCCTACTTCAGTCAAAGGTTTGTTTTCTACCTATGCTTATAGCAGTAGGTACCTCCTGTGTTCCAAGGGATGTTTCCCTGGCAGAGCCGTCCAAAGTTCCTGCTGGGACACCCTCTCAGAGATGGTCATTCTCTTCCCCAACCCCACCTCAGTCCCACAGCTCTTTCATGTGTCTCATTGTCCACCTGTGTCTATCTCAGAACTAGCAAAGGGTACAGAGCCTGTTCTATGTGATTCACATGGACACTGAGGGGTGTCAGGACTCACACTGAGGCCCCAGAGGGTGACCACTATGTGTTCCACCAGAGTTCTGCCCATCTGCAGTGTCACTGAAAGACTACTTCCCCTGGGGCTATGCCCTGGTGGGAGGGAGCAAAGGTGAGAGTCTTCTGCATAGGTACTGCTAAGAGATAAAGTCCATCTTGGCAGCTTGGCATGCCACACTCCTGCTCCACAGGCTTTGTTTGATAACTACTCTACAGTTATCAGTAAGCAGTTACTGTCTCTACCAGATCACAGGGAATAGTATTTTTAAATCTATCTGAAATGAAAAATTATCTGACAGATCATCTGTATCT